GTAAATAATAACATGAAAACACTTGTTGAGAAACTACCTACAGGTAGCTCTCTAAAATACATTATTTAAGTTAGAAGACCGTTGAGCCAAAAAGTAATTGAAAAAAAAAAAGTACACGATAAGAAGGACGCGGACTCTAAAAAAAATCATGGCTTGATTGGTTGAATAACTTAGGCATAAGCACCGTTTAAGATCGATCTCTGAGAAACAAAAGAGCAGGCGAGGAAAAATTGGATAAGCCGGATTGAAACTGAATTGAAAGCGGGAAAGCCGGACTCGAACCTGAGCCTTTGTTTTTGGAGTGCTGTTCACATCTACCTCACTTTCTAGATAATGCATTTTCATGGAAGGGGGAAAAACAATGAAATTTCACTTATTTAATACAATTCATCTATATTATTTTTTTTCCCTTAAGTAGTCTTATGGCAACTTTGTTTATTCTGTATCATCAATTTATTAACTTATTTTTTTTTTAATATTAGACAATAGTATATCCCATTGAGAATTCTCACATTTAGATAGATATAGATGGTTATCTATATAGATAGATCCTTCTCTTTAATATCATTCAAAGTATTAGGGGCAGCAGCAAGACATGTATATTTCTACATACAATATAAAATTATCAAGATAGTATATTTAACACACAATCTGTGAAGCTCATACTCTACCACAACTGCTAAAGTAGCAATATGCTTAATAAGTGATTACATTGTTCCTCTGAAAAATATTCCTCCAGTTTAATAGTTAAGCAATAACATATGAGCCTTTCAGTTGACAGAATGACTAACTCCAGTTTCAACATTTTTGAGTAAAGTGTTTTTAGTGATATTTCTAATTAGAAAATTTATAATATATGTACAGATAGTGAGTTAGTTGATTCCAGAGTAGGTGATAGCAGTGTTGAAATATAGAACTGTGAATAAAGGTATACATTCCCTCACTAGAAATAACGCTAAAATTAATAATAAAAAAATTAAAATTGGAGTTAGTCATTCTGTCAACTGAACTGTCATTCTGTAAAACCGTTGTTGTATAAGCTCAAGAAGAGGCTTGGTGTACAGTTGTCTCAATATTCAATACTGTAGTATAGAAGTTGTCTCAATATTCAATACTGTAGTATAGAAGTCTATTACTGCGAGTATAGACTTAAGCCATGGATTGTTGATTTTGGAAACTTCGCAATTTTTTTCAATGATTTATCTTAGTTGCAGTATGGTTTTAATTGTCATTCAATACTTCTCCATGAAATTTCCTTTCGTTTAATACATTATTCATCAAAATCCATCGCTTCTGAGAGCCGGAAAAGGTATCTGTACTATTTTATTATATTTAGTGTAGATTAATAATAAACATAAATAATATTTTTATATAATTATTAGAAGATTTAATGTGAAAATTGTTGTTCGAAGTGAACATGAAGCTCAGCAGACGTAGTAGAAATATGGCATTTTATAAAGTGCTACGGTAATATAAAGAGATATTAGTAATATAAGACTTTGCTTCATTTTTAGAATAAAATATAATTACTTTCTGTAAACGTGACATTGTCAATTAGGATCTATTTCACATCGCTTCCAAAATCATTATTATTTTGAAATGTCGGAACAAAATTATTAAAATTCAAAAATCAGTTTGTTTCCGTTCTTAATTTAAACTTTTTTTTTTCAAAAGCTTTGAATGAGTAATTTGTCCAGTAAAAAATTGGTACTTTGAACTTCATTGCTTTCCTATGTGATCTCAGTTGTTCGTACGCAGAAGAGTCTATTTTTGTTTTTATTTTAGTTTATTACTCTATTTATTTGTTTTATTACTCGTATACTACGGAGTTTAGATAACTTCTGGAGCTATCGATCAGAAACAAAATAGGAAAGCATCATCCTTGGCTCATTGTTGATTTTTTTGGAAGATAATTTTCGTATTCCTTCCTTCCACTTCTTCTTGTATTGTCTTCGGGATTGGAGGCAATTTGACAATTATACCTATTATACTTATGGAAGGAACAGTACCGTATCCATTACCCGTCTATCCTTGACGGTCTACAAACTGCGGCACTAGCAATTTCTGTGGTTGTCCTTGTAGAGTGCAGGGTCAGTGCTCAACCGTGTCCTAGATCAAGGGTATTGTTTGCGTTCTCTCCGAATTATATTATTCTATTATTTACATATATACGAATATATTTATGTATGAATATAATATGATGTTTATCTGTATTTATGTGGAACTAGAGGAAGAACGATATGGAAAAAGAGATATGAATGAGATCTCTCTTCTTGTAAATTCCTTATCTGCGTTTTATTCTTCGGAATCATTTCTAATAATCATAGAACATTTCCGTTTTAAAAAATGATACTCATTTATAAATAAAAATCATTAACGAAAACTCTCACAGCAAATGTATATTTTGAAATTTTCTAGGTTCATACATTTCAATATATATATATATATATATATATGTATGTATATGTATACATATATACGCTATTAGTTAAATATTATAAATGTATTTATATTTCAGATTTTTATTTATAGGCTCCTCTTGCACAGTAATACCATGTAGGAGGAGTAAAAAATGAATAATTTGTCAATTTTTTCAAGGTATAATTTTTTCTCATTACTCGTTAGTTCTATCGCAATGTTATTCTTAATATCCATTCATTAAACCTAGCATCATATAGTATAACAAACGATATTCCATTTCTATTACAATATTAGTAGTATAATAACACTCTGTTCTTCTTAAAGGACTTTCGTCCCTGAATAAAGTTTATTTATTTACAATATAAAATTATAATATTCTTCAAATTCTTTGTATCACATTTGATTTCTCAACTGTAAATACACACGCTTTTAGAGGCCATGGTTTATATACTACCAAATAAATAAATAATACAAAATTATAATCATTTATTTCTCGGTGAAACACAGTTACAATGAAATACTCTCTAAATACTTTTCGTAAGTTTGAACGAAGAAACAAAACAAAATTGTTCTGCGCTTTTCAGTGCCCTGTAATCTTCTCAAATTGCTTGGACAGTACTGTTAAAACATTTAGCAGTTGTGGATAACACTTCTCTTCAACTTTAGCAAAGTTTTTTTTTTAGCATATGCCGTCCATTGATTGTATGTCAAGGTGTGATTCGCTATTTTTAGCAATTTTCCTTTCTTTTCTTTTATTTACGATTACTTCACATAAAGTTGAGAAATCTCATATCGTTTTATATTCACGTACCGTTACCTAACTTCTATTATGTTTTCGATTGAATTTCCATGAATATGGAAAACAGAAAAAAAAAATACAGTATTGGGGATTTTGTAGATGCCATAATAATTATAATTTACAATTTCCTCTGTGGTAATGTTCCATACAGATGTTATTTCTTTTTCCTTTTTATCATTACATCTCGTAAGTTATGGGTTGATTTTTTTATATGTTGAATTGAGCCATTCTCTTATTAACAAAATTTGATCTCAACCTAAACAACCTAGTTTTGGAATATTGTAATGAAATGCGTCAATTTCTGTATTATTAATTTTGTATGATAAATTATAGTGACACCTCTATTTCTTTTTTTTTTTTAATATTTGATTACGTAGACGTAATTTATAATGGGAGTTTGATTAGAGAGAGATATGAAATGAAAAATAATATTTTATTTTGTGCATAGAAGAAAACAAAAGCAAAGTTAACAAATAAAATAAAGATGAATAAAACTATTAGAATAGAATTATAATTTCAATTAGTAATTTTTTGTGACGAACTCTTGTACAATTGTATTCCTTAAACTATAAACTAAATTTAATTATTTCTCAAGATTTACTTTATCTGTATTTAGTTCAGAATTTGGAGTTTTTTTTTTTTTTTACTTCACGCCACACTTTGCCAATATCTACCTGATGAATAATGAAGTAATTAAGTAAATTTCGAAAAGTTAATATATATTATATAATTGATTTTAGAAAGCACAATTTTTCAAATATTTATCTCAATTTTTTTTTAAACATAAATTCTTATGTAAAAAATTATTATTAATTTCAAATTAACAAAAATTAATTCCTCCTCTTTTCACAAAAATTAACGATATTCCTACGTGTATTAGGTGATTTTTTTTATTAGCTAGTTGTAAAAGTAAGTTATTAAGGCTGTTTTTGAGTTGATATTAACATTACTTTGAATGAGATTTTGGATACCTGGATAATTTGGATCCTCATATACTAGGTTATCGATATATATATATATATATATATATATATATATATATATATATATATATATATATAATAACCGAAATGATTTTCTTTCTTTATATTCGATATGACATCGTTTGTAGTTTTAATGTAATTTTTTATTACTGACTCCTGTTTGAAGTTAGTGGTTTAGCTAGGTCTTAATGTACTTCTTAGGTAACTTCTTTAATGAATAATAAAAAATAAATAAATTAGTATTGTTTCTGTCACATAGCATCTACTCTGCGAGACAGACTTCTTTTTATCAAATTATTTACAACTGTCTAAAACATTAAATGGCTTCATCTTGTCGTAATCCACAACTTCGTATATGTACAAAAGTTTTCGGAAATGGTGAGTTTTCTTATTAATTTAATTAGTTTGCTTTCTTCTTGAATCGTTGGGAATTTGATAAAAAAATCGGGGGGAAAGGTGGCCTTCAAAAGTATTGGACCATTTGGCCTGTATAACCTCGTTGTTTTGACATGTGTTAGTTTTAATACATTATTAAATAGACAGAATTTACCGATCTCCAGATTGAAAACTTCCATTTCTGAGAATTTTTGTAATTACAAAAATTGTAGGATACGATAAGGTTAAGTCACGAAGGGTCTGCACCGAAGACTAATCCACTAATTATTCCACCTTGGACCCCATTATGTTTCATATATTCCTGTAGACCAACTTTCATTTTACTTCTTAAATTTATATTATTTCAAAGCGTTATTTAATAATATTTCCAAGTCTTATGCTTTTCTTATTTTGTTTTTCAGAAACAGAGAGACGAATCAAAGCGAACGATCGACAGTTCAACGCGCAGTTCAACTATGCTGTAAGTAAATTTAATAATATTACTTAATAGAAATATATATATCTTGTAAGTTATTACATGACGTGTGTGTATCTATTGGCTAACCAATTGCAATTGACCTTTCGCTGAGTCCGGTTTGATTGCTTCAAGTAGGGCGCAAGGTTATTTGATCGCTGCAAATTCTCATCTCTTAAATGTCGATCAATTATAATAAATAAGTTATTTATTTACTGTTTTTTCTTTGTTTTTATTTATCGATTCTGTTAATCATTTTTTCTAAGATCTTATAACAGTTATAGCCATGGTTAATTGTAAAACAACGTCTAAAGAATCATTTTAAAATATACGGTAGCATTTACTTCGAATACCATATGAATTATAATTTTGAGAATTATTATTGAGAAAAAAAAAAGTATGCAATAACTAATAAAAACAAAATGCAAGTTTCTAAACAGCGCTGAGCTCATCACGGAATCGAAAAACCATCAAACATTTCTTAAACTCATTAATGGAATCCACCGCGTTTCTTTTTAAATCGATTGAATCCCCAATGCCTCAGCTTTTCTATCAGTTATGGGGGTCGATGAATCATCTGGATGTAACCTCATTATAACCTTAAAGTCGTTTAGACATTTCACAAACTATCGGACCAACAAATATATAAATGATTATTTCTCATGCTAGTATTTTTGTTTCTTGTTTTTTAACGTTTTCCATTTGCTATCATTATCAAGAGAAATAAAATAAACAGTTTGGTTTAGCAATAATTCTGCTGTTAGTCACTAGGGGATCCAGGATTTAAATTTGGGGAGCTTCAGCCCGGAAGCTTTTTTTTTCATATATATAACGATTAATTACTTAGGAAAAAAACAAAGATACTAACTACCTATATGAAATGATGTTTAAGTGATTCTTGGAGTCCTATTAAAAGTAATTAAACGAGCAATAATACTTTAAAATATAATTTATTAATATTTTTTACCGTAAAATATGGTTACATTTTAACGTTTTGGGAGGGCTTCAGCCCGAATTTATCATTTTTTTTTACGTCGGTGCGAAACTATACCACAATTTTTAAGTTCTATATACTTTCATCGTATAACATTTCCAATTGAGATGAATGTTGACTAGAGATGCCCAAAATCGGAATCAATGATAACATGATTAAAACTGAGAATAAAACTTATGCTTTTATACTTGATTCAATAGCACTATAAATATTGAAAAAAATGTGACACGATCACTTGATTAATCACGTAGCAAGATCACTGCAATCGTAATCATAATTACTGTAATCAGAATCTTTGATTATCACTAGAGACCAGATTTTCGTGCAATAAAAATCCGGAAAAACGTGCATTAAAAAACTCAAAATGTGCAAAATCGTGCAGTATAAATCCAAAATACGTCAAATTGTGTAATTAACACCTAAGAACGTGTAAAATCATCAATATTGTTTAATTTATAACATTTATACATCGAAATCTAATCAGATCTTGAGTTAGCCGAGAAATAAAAAAATTGAAATGTAACATTGAAAATGAAATTCCAGATTTAATCAACTATTATAATAACCATTATTATCAAATAATTCAGAGCATTAAAGGTTTGAAAGTATAAATGAATCTAGGAATTATAGTTGCCTACGCATATATTACATAGACCAGACCTATTTTAAATATATTTAGTAATAATAATATTGAAAGCTTTATTTTTTAATAGAGTTGAAGTTTCCAATATTATACATTCCCAAACGTTTTTGTTAAAATTAAAAAAAAAAATAAATAGACCGTAATGTTTGAGATTTTTAAGTGTTCAAAAATTAGTGTTGAAGCTGTTTTTCTGTACCACTAAAAAAATATATTTTTAGGGATTACATTCTTTCTAAAAAAGATTCAATTCTTTGATAAGAATATTTTTTTCTTACTTGTTCCCCAATCAGCGTCTATCAGTGATTTATTATCACCTGATTGATTTCAATTCGGGGTATTTTTACATCCAGATTTTAATTTTTAATGGGATACTAGATTTTACTTTTAGCAATATAATTTTTTTTTTTTTTATAAGAATGAAATTTCTACAAATTAATTTCAAAGCCAGAAGAGATACTGAAGAGTTGAATGGTGAGTGAGGAATCAAGCCAAAACAATAACTATAAATGCCTTACTAACAAAGCAGCCGATTCTAGGAAAGCAGCTTTTTATTATCCAATACTTCAGGCAAGTTCTATTCCAAGAATAGATCTCACTTCTGTTTATTTCTTCCTTTTGTAATGAATGATATAATAACGATTTTTGTTTCACACAGAATTATTTGTCTTCCTCATATTTTTCTATTTTGAATAATGAATTTAATTTGAACAATATAGAAAAATAAGAAGTAATAGTAAGAAAAAATTAAATAAATATTAACACACTCAATTATACATTTGTATTTATAAATCGTCTAATTTAGCACAAAAGTTCAAAAATGTGCAATTTAATGCAACTAAAATCAAAATCCTGCAATTTAAGCCTAAAACGTGCAATATGAAATTTAAATATGTTATTCTACAGGTTCTGAAACGGATAGATTATTCAGGTCCGGAATTTTTACACGCAAGCGAATAAAAAGTGAAATAAAATGGAAATCCGGTCTTTAATTATGACTATTTCCATCTATGGTCTTGACGCATTGATCAATGACCAATCATAAACGAACTTGAAAGAAAAGAATATTCCGGTTGGTCCTTAAATCGTGAGCATTTGTAGAATTTTTATATGATTAAGTTATATCACATCTATTCAAAAATGAAGTCAAAGTATTTTCACTCTCCGAGGCTTCATGAAGTCCTTAACGAAAAGTTGAGAGGAAAGCAGTGCGATCGGTTCCCTATATCTTCTGCTCACTTCGCCGTAAAAGCACCATCAATGTCTTGTCAAATAAAACCCCACTGCCGTGGAACCTTCTTCGATCCCCTCCCATCCTGGAGAAATGAACTTAACCACCGTGTCATCTCTGTCCTTTTATATCCTCGACATTCAACTCTTATCAATCTGCTCGATTCGCGGTCTCCCCTTCCACAGTTCCTGGAATCACTTACTTCCGTCGTTTATGATCCGTTGAGGGTATCACCTTCGGTTTCGCGTGTCGTTACGGTTATACTACTGAGGAATGATCTTACCCCCAAAGACTTTCTATCGTTTCCTGATATGAATTTCCACATCCTTCCGGTGCTACACCACTCCAGTAACTAATAATTGGAATGCTTTCCATTTCTTCAAGTTTTCAAATTTTAACACATTTTTCTTCTCATAACTAACCACATCTGCTTTAATCATCTGATATGAGAAAAATTAGTGATATAAAGTATAATCAATAACTATTGATGTTGGCAATTTATAAAAAAAAAAAACTTATGACTCAATACCTTTATAAATTTGATCTATTTTTTAAACTAATAAAGATAAATAAATAATTTTCATTGTCTTATTGCAAAAATATCACAATATTATACATTGTAATTTTGGAACAACTCAGTTTTTTTGGGTCACTGAATTGGACTGTGAATTTTTTTTTCTCAAAAATTATTAAAATATTGACACTATTTTTCTCATTTCACCTTAAACTCGAAAAATATTGCTTTTTTTTTCTTGGAAAACTCCTGTACACAAAATTTAAATAATCAACATTGTTTAAATTGTAAATATGTAGTTTTTCTTTACGATCAATTGGTAAATCCTTAAAGCGATGTATTTAATATTAAATATTTTCTAGGGCCACAATGTTTTAGTAAATTCTTTGAATCTTATTGATCGTATCATCCTTTGATATTACCAACCTTAAAATTCGTTTTGTTTTTTTCATCAACGATTTTTTTTTACAAATTTTATAATATTATTTTTTTTAAACTTATTTATTGTGGAATATTACAATCTGTCACAATTAAGGTCGTGTATAATAATGCTCAGAGAGCTAATTCACACTCTATTTACAATAAATTAAACAGTAAAATAATAATGCTAAAAATAAATGTATATAAACAAAAAAAACTAATCAAAATAACAACTTAAACACGAGCATAATTTTATAAAAATATTTATATAATTCCTTCACTCATGAGAACTTCGTGCCAAGCCTTTCTCTCCATTCGTTAAAGGAAAAGCAGGACTCTAGGAGATCTCAGGGCCTCTCGTTCAGCTGCATTACTGGTATTAAGGACTAGAGGCAGAGCAGAACCGCTGTAAGCAGGCATACATGATTTGAGTAGAAAATCTGTCCATTGCAAGAACTTCAATATATGCTTATTCACATAAGGTCTCTTGACCACTGCCGCTTCAATCTTCAAGGAGGATTTCATGGATGGGTGGAGCTAGATAGGGATTGAGCAAGGGAATTTGGATGAAATGTTAGGTTCTGATAAACGTAATATTAGTAACACAATAGTGTTAAAAATCCCGTATTCTAATTTTAGGACGAAAATCTTATCCTTTCATAATTTTCAGCAACTTTCGTAACAACTTCGTATTACATTATTCGTGCTAAGCACTTGGAGGACTGTCCTAACAGTGATCTTGTTAAACTTTGAAATTCCATTACTGAAGTTTGAAGTTTCTGCTTCGTCTGCTGAGCTTCATGTTCACCTCCCGGAATTAATTTTCACATTATATCCTCTGCTTATTATAAAAAAAATATTTATGTTTACTGTATTATTAATCTTCACTGTATACAATATGATAGTACAAATTCTATTTTCGGCTCGTTTTATTCTATTCTATTCCATTTTTAATCAGGACTTGAAACGATAAAAAAAAAATTAATTTTTTTTGTTTTACATGAAGATAGTTTTAATTATGTAAATTTTAATATTGGAATTGTTGACAATGTAATGCGGTTTAAAATAAACAACCTTATAGAGGAAGGTTTTAGTGTTTGTATAATTAAATGATGTTGACAAGGGCAATACAGTTCATAGTGATTTTAATGGATTAAAATAGGTATGTATAATAAAGCTTTAAATGAAAATAATTAATTAACAAATA